AACAAAAACAAAAACAAAATGCCTAACTGGTTTGTTGTAGTATATAGAGCTTCAGCCTGCAGTCAAGGGTACATGCCCAGGCTGCGGGTTCGATCCCAAGTAGGGGGCATGCAGGAGGCAGCTGATCAATGATTCTCTCTAATCATTGAGGTTTCTATCTCACTCTTCCTGTCCCTTCCTCTCTGAAATGAATAAAAATATATATAGTAAATACTATTATATGGAAATGGATAGGTTTCTTAGAAAATCCATGACATAAATACATACAAATACTGTTTTATTTCTGCGGACCCCAGGAGTCATTGCTAAAAGGAGGGAAATTACTGAAAAGAAAGCACTGGGCCTGTGGAACCGTGTCACCCACACTCTGTCTCTGAGACCCAAGGAAGAGTCTCTTCAGTATTTAGCAGAGACTGTTGTTGTCTCTGCCAAGCGGAGTATAGGCCCTGGGGGATCAGAAATGAATGTCACTCAGATGTTTCCCTCCAGCTATTCAGATTCTACCCTTTTAAGGACAAAAATACCTGAAACGTTCCATACTGGTGCCCTCCAGCTGTTTGTCCCAACTCTCCTGTCTGTCCTAATGATGAAAAAAAAATGCTCCTGACAGTCCCTTCTCCATCCATCGCCTCCACAGTACTCACTGGGCAGTTCTGTCCCTGCTGGAGTCTGACTAAGGAGAGGGAATCCACTGCCCCTGTCCAGCCTGGCAAGCAATGAAGGTTCAGGTTCCATCAAGACTGGCAGGACGTCAGAGTTAGTCATGGGCTCCTGATGCAGTGGATGCGAGAGGAGAAGACTCAGATGTGAAGCCCCTGGACTGAGACGGGAACCTGAAGGGCTGGAGGCACAGCTGGTTATCTATTGCTGCATGGCCCTGGGAGCTCAATGCACAGAGCTCATAATTAGTCAAATGGTTCGGCATTATCCCAATCTCTGAGGACTTGCTGTTGTTAATAGAAGATGAAAAGGGAATGTATTTTTTAAGGTTTGGCGCCTTCCTCTTCTCAGGAGAAAGCTCCCCTGTACTTCTCACTTCCAAGTTCCAGGAATTTTATAAATTTAAATAATTTTTTTCAATTGAAAAGCAGCAATGTGTGACTTGTATGTCTGCACATTCATTGAATTGAACATTCTATGGAGGGATAATTATGTTTTCTATACCAAGAATATGATATCATTTCTATTTTCTCATTTAACATTTATGCCTTAAAGAGAAACTTCCTCTTTTTTTCTATAGTCCAGCTGTGGGGTTTTGGATTTTATGTGTTGAGATGTGGTTTTTCTTTTGATATTTAGAAAGACAATCAAAGTTCAACTTTTTCTGTGGAATTATGCATATTGTTACATTAGACAACCATCTATTTTGATATACCACATTGACAATTTTCTTAAATCCTATGGGGGTTTTCACAGATGTCTGTGTTCTGCATGTAGGGCTACAGTCATCTCATCTTTTCTTTCTCTATTTTTTAAATTTAATTTATTGGGGTGATATTGATTAACAAAAACTATATAGGTTTCAGTGTACAATTCTTTTCTAAAATATATTTTTATTGCTTCAGAGAGGAAGGGAGAGGGAGAGAAAGAAACATCAATGATGAGAATTATTGGTCGGCTGCCTCCTGCACGCCTTCTTCTGGGGATTGAGCTCACAACCCAGGCATGTGACCTTGACCAGAATCCAACCTGGGACCTTTCAGTCCGCAGGCTGACGCTCTATCCACTGAGCCAAAGCAGCTAGAGCTCAGTGTACTATTCTATAATACATTATATGTATATTTTATTGTGTTCTCACAACCCCAAGTCAAGTCTCCTTCCATCAACTTTTATCCTGAAACCCTTTGCCCTCATCTACTGCACCCCAAACCCTTTTCCTTCTGGTAATCACCATTCTATTGTCTGTGTCTATGAGGGGGGTTTTATGCTTAATCCCTTCACCTTTTTCATCCAGCCCCCCAAACCCTTCCCTCTGACAGTTGTCAGTCTGTCGTCTGAATCTATGAGTCTATTTCCATTTTGTTACTTAATTTTGTTCATTAGATTCCACATATAAGTGTAATAATATGGTAGTTTTCTTTCTCTGACTGGCCTATTTCACATAGCATAATACTCTCCAGGCTAAAAAATATATAATAAAACAAGATAAGAGAAAAAAACTTAAAAAAAAATACTCTCCAGGTTCATCCATTCTGTCATAAGAGGAAAAACTTACTTTTTTTCTTAAATTCTCACCAACGGTATGTTTTTATTAACTTGAGAGAGAGAGGACAGGAAAGAGTAAGAGAGACCTTGATGTGAGACACATCAATTGGTTGCCTCCTGCACGCACCCTGACCAGGGATTGAACCCATACCCTAGGTATGTACCCTGGCTGGGAATCGAACTTGCAACCTTTTGGTGTATAGGACAATGCTCCAACTAACTCAATCACACAGCTACAGCAAATTTCCTTCTGTTTTTATGGCCTTTATTATGCTGAGTTGTGTTCCCTCTATTCCCACTTTACTGAGTTTTTATCATAAAAGGGTGCTGCATTATATCAAATGCTTTTTTCTGCACCTATTGACATGATCATGTGGTTTTTATCCTTCATTTTGTTAATGTGATGTCCCAGGTTTATTGACTTGTGACTGTTGTACTAACCTTGCATCCCTGGAATAAATTCCACTTAATTAGAGTACATAACCTTTTAATGCGTCTCTGGGTTCCATTTGCTAATATTTTGGTGAGTAATTTAACATCCATGTTCATCAGGGATATTGGCTATAATTTTCATTCATTTTACAGTCTTTATCTGGATTTGCAGTCAGGATACTGCTGGCCTCTTTAAAAGAGCTAGGGAGTCTTCTCTTTTCTTGAATTTTTTGGAATCGTTTGAGAATAGGTTTTAGTTCTTCTTTAAATAGTTGGTAAAATTCACCTGTGACATAATCCGGTCCAGGACTTTGTTTGTTGGGAGTTTTTGGTTACTGCTTCAATATTATTAGTTGCAATCTATCTATTCAAATTTTTTCCTGATTCAGTTTTGGAAAATTGTACATTTCTAGGAATGTGTTCATGTCATCCAGATTGTTTTATTTGTTGGGATATAGTAGTCCCTACTGTTTTCTTAGTATCCCTTGTATTTATGTGGAGTAAGTTGTTATGGCTCCTCTTTAATTTCTGATTTTCTGTATTTGGGTCCTCTCTTTATTTCTTGATAAGTCTGATTAAAAGTTTGTCAACCTTGTTTATCTTTACAAAAAGAAAACAGCTCTTGGTGTCATTGATCTTTTGTATTTTTTTAGACTCTATTGTATGTATTTCTGCTCTAATCTATATTGTTTCCTTTCTTTTACTCACTTTGGGCTTTGCTTTTTGTTCTTTTTCTAGTTCCAGTAAGTGTACATTTAGATTGTTTATTTCAGATATTTTGTTTCTTAAGATAGGTCTGTAATGCTATGAATTATGTCTTGAGACTGCTTTTGCTGTTTGTTTCCAGGTGTCTTTTTATTTCCTCCCTGATCTCCCCATTAAACCATTCATTGCTTAGTAACATACTATTTAGCATCCATGTCTTTCTTTGGTGTGTTTTTTTCCCTTGTGATTAATTTCTAGTTTTATACCATTATGGTCAGAGAAGATGCTTGATATGATATCAAACTTCTTAAATTTATTGAGACATCTTTTGTTTGTTTGGAGTTTTTTTGTTACTGCTTCCATTTCATTAGTTGTATTCTGTCTATTCAGATTTCTTTTCCTGATTTCATTTGGAAGATTGTACGTTTCTAGGAATGCACCAAATTTTTTCTTACCATTTGCAACAGCAAGGATGGAACTGGAGAGCATTATGCTAGGTTAAATAAGCCAGTCAGAGAAAGATAAATATCACATGATCTCACTCATTTATTGAATATAATGAACAACATAAACTGATGAACAAAACCAGATCCAGAGACAGAGAAGCACTGATCAGACCATCAAACCTCAAAGGGAAGGTAGGGGAGGGTGGAGGTATAGGGGATAGATCAACCAAAGGACTTGTATGCATGCATATAAGCCTAACCAATGGACACAGACAACAGGGGGGTGACAGCTTGAGTTGGGGGGTTAGGGAGTAATGGGAGGATAAGTACATATATGTAATACCTTAATCAATAAAGACATTTAAAAAATTTTTAAACATTTATATGCAGTAAAGGCCTATATAAAAAATAAATCTTTATTGTTGAAAGTATTGCATATGTCCCTTTTTCCCTCATTGCACACTCCCGCGCCCCCAAGCCTTCACCACCCTATTGTCTGTGTCTATGGGTTATGCATAGATGCGTATGAGTTCATTCGTTGACATCTTCCCCTGCTTTTCCATGCCACCCCCATTCACTCTCCCCTGCCTTCTCTCTGAGGCTTGACAATCCAACTGCACTCAGTCATGTATACATCCAGATAGTCTCCTAAGGCTAGCTGCTAGCTCAGGGTAGGCAAGTGATATGAACAATCCAAGGACAAGGGAGAGGGTTAGGGTTTCTGATTCCACAATCCAGCTCTTGGGTCCACTGGCAGTTACATCGTCTTGACGAACTCCTCCAACAGACCCGGTCACCAGTGTTCATATATCGCCAAGGGGATTCCAATAAAATCCACACCTGAAAACCAGTGAACTTCATCATCAGAAATTACCTCAGTAAATATATTTGACAGATGCAAATTTTGTATGGAAAATACTCTAAAACTATGGGGAAAGAAGTAAAGTTTAAGTATATACTAAGAAAATTGTCCATTTCACCTGGATATCAGAATCAATGAGGAGACCCTCTCATTCAATTATTATGATGTATAAAGGATCCCAGGATACTCTGCCAATTCAATTAAAGACAAATCAAAAGATGTAAAGTTCATATGTGATGCATGGAGAGGAATGAAAACTATGAGACAAATAAAGAATGTGACCAAGGAAAGAGTACATGGTCTACCTGTTTGGTTTTGTTGGTTTTACCAATCATATTCCAAAAGGGATTGCAGAGATATTCACATTAGATTGTTCTGCTGTAGAGCCTCCATAGGGCACTCTTAATGTCCCTGTTCCTCAGACTGTAAATGAAAGGGTTCAGCATGGGGGTAACTACAGTGTACATGACTGAGGCCACCACGTCCTTCCTGGGGGAAGGCAACAGTGCTGATCCCAGGTAACCTCCAATAGCTGTTCCATAAAATAAGCAAACAACTGACAGGTGAGAAACACAGGTGGATAAGGCTTTATACTTCCCACCTATCGATGGAACTCTCAGAATGGAGGAAACAATCTTATAGTAAGAGCCAACGATCCCTGCGAGTGGAACACCACCAAAGATGGCGCCAACAAAATACATGACTATGTTATTGGTGATGGTGTCAGAACAGGCAAGATGAAGGAGCTGAGAAGGATCACAGAAGAAATTAGAAATGTTTACATCCTTGAAGCAGGTAAACTGTAATACAACCAAATTGTGCAGCTGGGAGTCCAAAAGGCTGATGAAAAATGACATCAAAACTAAGAAGCAGCAGAGGCGTGGGTTCATGGTGGCTGAGTAGTGCAGAGGGTGACAGATGGCCACAAACCGGTCATAGGCCATCACAGTCAGAAGCATGTCATCCATACATGCAAAAAGGATAAAAAAAGACAGTTGTATCAGGCAGCCCCCATAGGAGATGACTCTGCTGTGAGTCAGGATGCCCACAGCCATCTTTGGAACAGTGGTAGAAATGAACCCGATGTCCGCCAAGGACAGGTTGCAGAGGAAGAAGTACATGGGGGTGTGGAGGTGGGAGTCAGAGCTGACAGTCAGGATGAGGAGCATGTTCCCCAACACGGCAACCAGGTACATGGACAGGAAGAGCCCCAAGACCAGAGCTGCAGTTCCAGGTCATCTGAGAGACCCAGGAGGAAGAATTCTGAGACACGTGTTAGATTCTTTAGTTCCATGGGGCTGAGACACCTCCTGAAAAAGGAAAGATGCTTAGAGTAATGAAACAACTACACAGGCAACCAGGGCTGAGTCTATATTTTCAATTCAGTCAAATCAAAGTAAAGCATTTAAACTTAAGGAGAGGTGGCAAAATCAGTACCTCAGAGGAATTTTTCCTCATTGATTTCTTGGGTATTTACCTGTTTCTATATATACCTACTTTAGAGACACTAATGTTAATAGAGTTAATAAAGTCATGAACACAGTAAATATTAATTTCCTCCTGAAGGAAATATATGGAATAAGAAATATCTTTCTCCCTTAAAAGAAATCACTCCAGCCCTGGGCGGTAGTTCAGTTATGATACACCATGGTTGTAGGTTCAATCCCTAGTCAGGACATATACAAGAGTCAACCAATGAATGCATAAATAACTAGAACAACAAATTGATGTTTTGCTCTCTCCCTTCTTCTCTCTCTAAAATCAATCAATAACATTTTATTTAAATCACTCTAGTTCAAAGACACTGGGAAGCAAATATACTTTAATTTACCCAAATACTATGCCAAAAAAGTCTTTAATTTGGAATATTTATACATGTTTATATCATTACCGGTATTCTAAATTAAAGTCAAATGTAATTAATCAGTTAGAATTTTTATATGACAGTTATCATCCTGGATTTTGATTATCATTTGGTTTTCCCCAATATCCATCCTCAATGGAAATAAGTGCTGTCTCAAATATGTGTTTTCTTTTCAATATATTTTTATTGACTGCAAGAGAGGAAGGGAGAGAGAGAGAGATAGAAACATCAATGATGACAGAGAATCATTGATTGGCTGCCTCCTGCACACCCCATACTGGGGATGGAGGTGGATTGAGCGCACAACCCAGGCATGTGCCCTTGGTCAGAATCAAACCTGGGACCCTTTAGTCCGCAGGCTGATGCTCTATCCACTGAGCCATACCGGCTAGGGCTGTGTTTTCTTTTAAAAGTCTTTTCATAGTTATTATACCAGTCTACATTCCCACCAGCAGTGCATGAGGGTTTCCTTTTTTCCACAACCTCTCCAAGACTTGTGATTACTTGTCCTGCTGACAATGGGCACTCTAACAGGTGTAAGGTGGTATCTCATTGTACAGTGGTAGCTTGACTTATGAGTTTAATTCGTTCCCGAGACCGAACTCGTTAAGGAGCTCGTTAACTAAAATTACTCTGTCAACTCAATGCAAAAAATCGGCCCAGAGACAGCTGGTATCTCAAAAAACTCTTAGTCAGGACACTCGTAAGTCAAGGCCCCACTGTAGTTTTAATGTGTATTTCCTTAACTGCTAGTGGGGTTGAACATCTTTTCATATATCTATTGGCTGTTTGTATGCCTTCTTGGGAGAGGCGAATTTTCAGGCCCTCTGCCCACTTTTTGATTGGGTTGTTTATTTGGCGTTGAGCTTCATGAATTTTTTATACATTTTGGAAATTAAACCTTTGTTGGAGCTACTTTTTGCAAATATCATCTCCCATCTGGCTGGCTATTTGTTTTGTTGTCAGTTTCTTTTGCTGTGCAGAAGCTTTTTAGTTTGATATAGTCCCATTCATTTATTTTTGCCTTTACTTCCCTGCCTTTGGGGTCAAGTTTATAAAATGTCCTCTATGGCCAAGGCCCATAGGTTTGGTACCTATTTTATCTTCTATGTGATTATTGTTTAGGGTCTTATATTAAGTCTTTGCTCCATTTTAAATTCATTTTTGTACATGGGGACAAACTGTAATCCAGTTTCATTCATTTTCATGTGGCTTTTCAGTTTTCCCAGCAATATTTATTGAAGAAACTATCTTTATTGCATCATGTGTTTCCAGCTCCTTTGTCAAAAATTATCTGTCCAGCCCTGGCCGGTTTGGCTCACTGGATAGAGCGTCAGCCTGGGGACTGAAGAGTCCCAGGTTCGATTCCGGTCAAGGGCACGTACCTTGGTTGCAGGCACATCCCTGGTAGGGGGGGTGCAGGAGGCAGCTGATTGGTGCTTCTCTCTCATCGATGTTTCTAACTCTCTATCCCTCTCCCTTCCTCTCTGTGAAAAATCAATAAAATATATTTTTTTAAAAAATTATCTGTCCATATATATACTGATATATCCACTATGGAATCCAGTATGGCCAGTCCTCAAAAAATTAAGAATAGAGCTACCATACGACCAGCAATCCCTCTCCTGAGTATATAACTAAAAACTCAAAATCATGTATTCGCAAAGATATATGCACCTCTATGTTCCTTGCAGCATTATTCACCATGGCCAAAACATGGAAACAACCAGTATCTATGATAGAGGACTGGATAAATAGAAGATGTGGTATATATACACAATACAACACTACTCAGCCATAAGAGAGAATGAAAGAATGCCATCTGCAACAACATGGAAGGACCTTGAGAACATCATGCTAAGTAAAATAAGTAAGAAAAAGCTAAGAGCTATATGATTTCACTCATATGTAAGATATAAAAATGAAACTTGTGAACACAAACAGCAGTATGGTGATTGCCAGAGAGAAGGGGTTAGGGGAAGAAGGGAGTTCTAATATGTGGTAACAGGAGAAGGTTTTACTTTGGGTGGTGGGCACACAATGCAATATACAGATCTTATAACATAGAAACCCACACCTGAAACCTATATGTTCATGTTGACCAATGTCACCCCAATGATTTTAATAAATAAATATTTTTTTAAAAGATGCAACAAAGTATTTTCAAATATTAATTCTACCCCTAGGCTTTTCAGGCAGGTTATTTATATCACATTATATAATCTCAGGGAATCTTTGTGTTTGAAACTGCTCTTTGCTTTGCTTATCTTCATAATGTAGTGGCTAGGTTAAAGTGTTTAAACATGCTTCTAATTTTAAAATTTTTGAAGCATTCTTTTCTCATCAAATCAACCATCTTATTTACAGTTGGGGTTTCACACCCAAAGGGAGTCCCAAAGCTATGTCTAAAACTCAGTCTTTTTTTTTTAAAATATATTTTATTGATTTTTTACAGAGAGGAAGGGAGAGAGATAGAGAGTTAGAAACATCGATGAGAGAGAAACATCGATCAGCTGCCTCCTGCACACTCCCTACTGGGGATGTGCCCGCAACCCAGGTACATGCCCTTGACTGGAATCGAACCCGGGACCTTTCAGTCCACAGGCCGATGCTCTATCCACTGAGCCAAACCGGTTTCGGCGAGTCTTTTTAAGTCTAGTTGAGAATTGTTTATGTCAATCCTTCCTACTAACAGGAATTACAGTTCTCTTTAAACCAGCTCCCTGAAGACAACTTGTAACTCCCTTTCCTTTGGCAGGTAGCAATATGATTCGAATGTACAGCCAAAATTGAGAATCATTGCGATAGAATATTACCAGGCACTTAACAAATGTTTCATTCATGTTATCTATTATTATCATTGTACCCACTCACCATATTTAAAAAGTGACCACTGAGTAATATTTGCTTCAGAACTTATATTTTATAGAGATTTGAAATATTACCAGTAACATTTCAGTTTTGTTTCTATCCCATTCCCCTGCATACCTGTCCCACTAGTCAACCATTGTCAGTGAATTTGGTGGGTATATTTTCTTGCCAATGCTTCCATAGCATTAGGATTGATTTTGTACTCATAAACAGTCTTCCTGAAAATTTAGTTGTAAAGTATCATACTACACATGTTATCCCTGAAATGTTCTCATTAAAACTTCATGGTGTTTTTTTTTAAAAAAAAAAAAAAAACAACTTCATATTTTAAATCTTTCTGTGAAGTACATGCATCTAGTTTAAACCTTTTAGCTAATGAATATTATTGCCAGAGGAATAGACTCCATTTTATTTTTAATTCATTATAATGACAATCCTATGCAAATTGTTTTACCTGTCCAAATCACACAAGTGAGAATATCTATAAGATAGATATGTGTGAAGTATAATTGTCTGCTTTGTAAAAATCAGTGCACATTGAATTTTACTATTAGTTGCCTAATTTTTTCTCCAATTAAAAAAAATCGAATACAATCAATTACCTGCTCTTATTGTCGAGATATAGATCCAGGATGTCCCCAAAGTCTGTCTAGTAATAGTCATCTCATGATAGATCCCATGAAATTCTCAACTTGTAGAGGAAATAATGCTTGCATATCTTAAACTTCCTAAGTGAGATGGAAAAAACATTACTATTTATAAAATATCCTATAGGCCACAATATATATTCCAGAAGGACCCCTATGAATCATTTTGTCCATCCCCTGATTCGTAGATGACCTCACTGAGTCCCAATAGGAGAAATCAATTATTTTGCCTCGGTTTCCTCATCTTAGACCAGCGGTTCTCAACCGGTGGGTCGATACCCCTTGGGGGGTCGAACGACCCTTTCACAGGGGTCGCCTAAGACCATCAGAAAACATATATGTAATTACATATTGTTTTTGTGATTAATCACTATGCTTTAATTATGTTCAATTTGTAACAATGAAAATACATCCTGCATATCAGATATTTACATTATGATTCATAACAGTAGCAAAATTACAGTTATGAAGTAGCAATGAAAATAATTTTATGGTTGGGGGTCACCACAATATGAGGAACTGTATTAAAGGGTCGTGGCATTAGGAAGGTTGAGAACCACTGTCTTAGACAAAACAAACATGAGAAAAAATATATTTGTTCAGGTCTAGTGGATGGGAGAGTCCTGGGACAAGAGTCAGGAGATGAAAGTTTGAGTCCCACATCTCTCACACAGTAAAGTTAGAGTGTGTGCAGATATCTCAACCTCTCTCTGATGGCATTTTTTACCTACAAATGGGGAGACTAATACCCCCAGAAGTTTGGCAATTAATATATTCAGCTATTGCATTTTAATCAGAATTCAATTATTCTTGCAGTAGCAGGTTATTGTTAAATTTAATCTCAAGAAATATTTAATGACATTTATTTAATTACATGGCAGAGAGGCCAAAGCCTTTTTTATCCCAAGGAACCTGAACACGGTATCCTAAATGTGAAATCCTAAAAGTGTCTCAGTCCACGAGTAAGATTGATCCTCCCCTTTCCCATCCTTTAAAATCATTCAGTATTTAAAATCGCCAGAAATTTTTGGCAGTTGAACGATGTATGTCTTATAAAAGGAAAATATTAGGTTCATAGGAAGTTCATGTCATAGATGTACATAATCCCTATTGCATCGTGTCTCTAGTCCTATGGAATATTGCTAAACGGAATGAAAGGACAGGCAGAACAGCACCCAGTGGGTGGAAGCCTTTTAGCCTACTCTGTGCTGGTGTAAACTAAGGATCTAGTTAATGTTTAACAGGGATCTTTTTTGTTTTTTTTGGTTACTCTGTGCCAAAGACAGGATAGGCTCTGAGGAATCACAAATTAATGAGATTCAGTCACTTCCCTTCATTCACTCAGTATCTACTTGTACAAGGATTAAATAAAATATCCTGTCAGAGCTCTAGCTGGTTTGGCTCAGTAGATAGATTGTCAGCCTGTGGACTGAAGGATCCCGGGTTTGATTCCAGTCAAGGGCACATGCCAGGGTTGTGGGCTCGATCCCCAGTAGGGAATGTACAGGAGGCAGCCAAATGAATCTCTCTCATCATTGATGTTTCTAACTCTCTCTCCCTCTTCTTTCCTCTCTGAAATCAATAAAAATATTTTTTAATTGTCCTCTCAGAGGTCCAGTTAAGCTCATGCCTTCAAATCACAGGATATTTTAATCAAAGTGCATAAAGCACTGTTGATATTAATGATATTTGAAATGTATTTTTCCTTTCTCTATACATTTATCATATACATAATCGCATATGTACTTTCACTATATTGTTTTATCCTGCAGCAGTGCAGTTGTGACAACTAGGGATCAACTCAGATGACAATGTTGAGGTTCAGAGATACTCAGAACTTGCCCCATATTGCACAAGATAATAAACAGAGCAGACAAAATTAAACTAAATTGCTGGTCTCCAATTGTCCATGTGATAAATTTCTTTACTCTGTTTTCTGACACTTCAGAAAGATGAACACAGAAGTTCAGGGGTCTTTACCAAAAGTAGAGCTAAGATACATCTTTTCACTGGTTTTAGTTTCCTAAATAAAACTCAAGACCCTCAATTTATGTCTCTTCTGGAAATTGAGAGGGCTAAGGTACAGAAATGAAGGAGGAAGAAGACAGTTTAAGGAGTGGGGGCAGGAGCAAGATCTGCCCTAAATTATAATCTGCTAATTTTTCTATGATGCCCACTTTGAGCTCAGCTATCCTCCTTTTCATCAGTGCAGCAAGGGGCATCCATTACTCTCTGCTGGGGTCCACTAGGAACCCCCAAAGGAAAGAGAACAGTGAACAGGGGGGTCTCTGCCTGGAGTGACCTGACAAGTTAAATGAAAGGCTGGGTTGGAAGAGAGAATAATGGTTATATGTTCTGTGTCTACAGTCTGATGCCTGGATTCAAACCTGAATTCACTCCTATTTTACCACATAACCTCGTACAAGTTATATTTAAATGCTGTGCTTCTTTGTTCATTTGTAAAATGATGATAATATTCATTCCTCTTTGTTGGGGAGTGATTATGCAGATGAAATGGAACAAGCTGTACAACACTCAGCTCAGAGCCTGGCTCTTAGGAAGTCCTCAGTGACCATCCATGATATCTGGCTTACTGTCTTCATCCTCCTCCTCCTCCTCATCATCATCAATCAACACCTCAAGATTTTGGAGTACTTAGGGGACAATTGTTGTTATTTATTATTTTGTTTATTTATTTTTGGTTAATGCTAACTCAAGGATATTTTTCCATTGATTTTTAGAGAGATGAAAGAGAGACAGAGAAACAAATTGATGTGAGAGAGACACATCGATTGGTTGCCTCCTGCACACACCCCAATCAGGGCCAAGGAACCTGCAACCAAGATACATGCCCTTGACTGGAATCAAACCCAGGACCCTTTAGTCTGCAGGCCAACGTTTTATCCACTGAGACAAACTGGCTAGGGCTTAGGGGACAGTTTAGAGAGGCCTGTTTCCTGCCATCACGGGGGTAATTTCTATGGGAATTAAAACTATTGTAAGAGGAAAGCAGAACTCTGAATGAAAGTTCTTGGACTCCCACCAGAACCAAGCACATAAACTTCATAGTGCTTGGAATAGAAACTGCATTTTGGTGCCCTACCACCTGTCTACCCCAAATGTCCTGCTTGTCCTGACCATAAGCAAACAATGCTCCCCAGGCCCTCCTCCCTCCACTGACTCCCATGGCACTCACTGGGCTGGGCTGCCATTCTGCTGGTGCATGACCAAGGAGGGCCAGTCCTCTTCTGCCTGGTGAGCAATGATGGCTGAGGCTCTGTCCCCAGGACTGGCAGAAAGACAGACTCGGGCCAGACCTCCTCATGGAGATTACTGTTCTGAAAGGAAGAGGCACAGGTGTAAAGCCAGCGGGACAGGGACTGGAAACCTGAAAGGCTGGAGACACAGACTAATTATTTATGGTAGTTTGACCTTGAGCACTCAATGCACAGTCTTCTTAATTAACCAAATTGGTCCACGAGCTCTATTCCCTGCAGACTTCACAATCTTAGGAAACCACAGGAGGAAAAAGTCAGTGTCCTTGGTCCAGCTCAATTACTTCTGAGCCCTATGCCATCCCACGGGGAAGTTCACTTGCCTGCTTCTAGTCACCCATCCAAAAGGAAGACTCTCCTTATAAAGATTAGATTTATTATTTCCACTTAAAAACTCACTTGCTGCCCTAGCGGGTGTGGCTCACTTGGTTGTATGTCTTGCCATGCACTGAAAGGTTGCTGACTTGATTCAAGGGCACATACCTGGATTGTGGGCTCAGTCCCCAATAGGGGGCGTGCAAGAGGCAGTTTATGTATTGATGTTTGGCTCTCACATCAATGTTTTTCTAGCCCCCTCTCTCTTCCTCCCTCTCTAAAAATAAATTTATATATTTTTTAATCTCACTTGCAATTTTGATTTTTTGAAATATGAAAATATTTCCATATTTGAACATGTTTATGTCAGCAAGCAAAGCTTCATGCTTTTCTTAATATGAGTTCTCATTTCTTATGGAGTTCATTCCTTGGTAATTTTTTGTTGCTAATTTAAGTAACATCATTGGTTTCATTTATTGTTAACTGATTTATATTGGCATATTAGAACACAATTAAATTGTATCTTTCCATTATCTAGCACTCTTCTTTTTGTTTTATTGTTGACAGTATCACAGATGTCCCCCATTTTCCACCACTTTGCTTCCTCCAACCGGCCCCATCCTACCCCAGGCCTTCACCACATTTTTGTCTGTGTTCACAGGCTATGCTTATACACATATATGTTCTTTGGTTAATCTAGTCCAGTTCCCCAGCCTCCCCTCTGAGATCTGTCATTCTATTCCATGTATCCATGCCTCTAGTCCTATTTTGTTCATCAGTTTATTTGGTTAATTAGATTATATATATATAAGTGAGATCATGTGATATTTGTCTCTCTCTTTTTTTTTTGGACAGGCTTATTTCACTTAGCATAATAATCTCCAGGCCGATCCATGCTCTTGCAAGAGAGCTCCTTCTTTTATACAGCCACATATTATTCCTCTGTGTAAATGTACCACAGGTTTTTTATCCACTCATCTAGTGATGGGCATTTGGGCTGTTTCAAGATCTTAGCTATCTATATATATAAAAGGCTAAGCGATTGCCTGACCAGCCGGTAGCTATGATGCGCACTGACCACCAGGCGGCAGATGCTCCACGTAGAAACTTCTGAGCAACAGCAATTTTGCAGAGTGCCTTCTTGCACTCCGGGACCCTTTGGTGAATGTCAGACTTCTGATTTCAGCCTGATCCCTGCAAGCCAGGCCAAGGGACCAACCTGCTGGAGGGACCTCACTCACTCCACAGACCCACTTTGAGCCCTGGCACTACCCCTGGTGCAGCCGGCCGGGGAGGAACCACAGGAGGTTGGCTCCAGGGTGTGTCCAGCCTGTCTTGCCCAGTCCTGCCTCACCAGCCACCTTCTAATTAATTTCCTTTCGATGTGCACGAATCCATGCACCAGGCCTCTAGTTGTAAATAATGCTACTATGGACATGAGGGTGCATATATTCTTCCTGATTGTTGTTCCAGAAT